ATTACTTATAAAAAAAAAAGAATATGTGGTTGAAAAAGAATGAAAAGTTATTGCTATGATGGAAAATATTATTTTATTGAAAAATATGTGGTTGAAAATGAGTAGAAAAATGAGAATGAAAAAAATAACGTGGACCAAACAGGGCCTAATATGTATGTCTGCAGTACCAATTAACTTTTTATCTGAAACTATAGAATCCTAATTGGCTAATATGTTAAGAGCAATAATATGTTTGGTTTTGGTTGGGTGTCAGTTGGCTGGCCTATCTCTTTTCTACTAATATGGAGTGGATATTGATTCCCATCGCTGCAAATACAGATTTCACACTCTTGCCTACATCTTGTTTTCCTTTAGAATGTGGTATTATGCCTTTGTTTGATTCTCATTATTTCCAAAACACATTTTTCTCTCTTCTTTCAACCACACGTCATTCAATAAAATATTGTTACACGCAAATCCAAAACTTTTCCTTAGTTTCTAATCACACATTCTACATCAATTTACTATTCCAAAATGCATTCTTAGCCAAAAAATGGGGCTCAAACCGGCGCTATATTTTTTTCATTCTGCTGCTGAAGTGCCTGAAATCCTTTATATTTACAGGTCTGGGAAGCACTTTTGGCAGTCAGGTCTCTTGTTCTACCACCCACTGAGGATGCGGAGACATGGATCAAGTTTGCTTCTCTGTGTCGTAAAAGTGGCAGACTTAGTCAAGCTAGATCGACTTTAATTAAGCTTTTACAGGTTTGAGATGCATATTAGTGGAATGCTGTAGACATTTTGTGCTGTCATTTAATGATTTAACTTATCCTCGTAACACTTGCAGTTTGATCCTGAAACAACTCCTGAAACTGTACGGTATCATGGGGATCCTCAAGTAATTCTAGCTTATTTGGAATACCAGTGGTCACTTGGAGAGGATAACAGGCGTAAAGAATCCTTCACTCGACTGCAGGTAAGCTTTATGTTTTCTTAAGTGGTAAATGCAAAGGGCAGCTGCTCAGTTTGGGGGGCTAATAATCTCTGAAATTTCTCTGTTGTAGGAGTTGGCCATAGACCTCTCAAGAACTCCAGTTCTTCAACAAGCTTCACAGTCCAGCTCATTGGGTAGTTCAAATGTACCTCTCCTTGCCTGTGTATATCTTAAACTAGGAAATTGGCGGCGGGCCCTTTCTCCGGGTTTGGATGACGATTCTATTCAAGGTAATCGATTGAACTTCACACATCCTCCAAAAAAAACAAAGAAAAATAGAAGAGAAGATAATGTAGAGGATTTGGCAGCTGCTAGAGCAGCTAAATTTGAAATATTAATATCTTTTCTGGTGATTAATTTCCTATGATTTCAGAAATTCTTAATGCGTTCCGAAGTGCTACTCAATGTGCAACAAAGTGGGCGAAAGCTTGGCATACATGGGCTCTATTCAATACAGCAGTAATGTCTCATTATACACTCAGAGGTTTCCCCAATGTTGCTGGACAGTTTGTTGTTGCAGCAGTGACTGGATATTTTCACTCCATAGCTTGTGCTGCACATGCCAAAGGAGTGGATGATAGTTTGCAGGTAACACTTAGAAGCGTAAAATCCTGTCTTACATAAGCGTAGTGAGATACTTTGTGAAATGTTCATACCTCTTGGTAATTGAGTCTAATCTTCCGCTACTAAAATTATCCCTGTGAACTAGGGGGTCAGTTCATTTTGATCTGTCTAAAGCATGTTCCTTGTGAAGAACAAATTATTGCCTTTTTAATGTAACTGCATTTGTTGTCATTCTTTGCCTGCTTTGTTGGAATTTGTCATTAACAGTTCAAGTGTTAATGTTAAATGATTCTGTCAATCTTTTTTCGAATTTATATAGGTGCTTTTTCGAATTTATTTCTGTAGGTACTATTACCTTCTCAGAAACTTGACTAGTTTATTATATTCTTTTTTGTTTTTATCCTGTATCGTCTTGATTGCAGGATATTTTACGTCTCCTCACTTTGTGGTTCAACCATGGAGCTACTTCAGAGGTCCAAATGGCATTGCAGAAAGGATTTTCGCTTGTTAATATCAACACGTGGTTGGTTGTTTTGCCTCAGATAATTGCGAGGATACATTCCAATATCCATGCTGTCAGGGAACTAATACAATCATTGTTAGTACGGATTGGCCAGAGTCATCCACAGGTGTGATTTTATGTGATACATGTGATTCAGGCACCTAGATTTTCCTCTAATTGGTGAATGGAAATGTCATTAGTGAGAGACTTGGGAGTTCTAAAATTAATAGTTGATGGCCAAAGCTAAAAATAAGTTATTTTGAAACTAATCCCTACCTGATTGTCAAAATGAGTAATTTTTATGTTGTAAGTAAGAAAAAAGTAACAATCAAATGTGTTTGGTAACAGGAATTTACTTTATAGTAAGTTTGAATTTAAAGCTTAGCCAAACATGCTCTTACATACCTATAGGACAGTGTCCTGAAACAAGAAGTGTGAGAAAGTTTTAAACAATGTTGTCAAATCTGGCTCGGCGAGGCTGGTTAATCTTTCAAGGGGAAGGGTTAAGGATTTAACCGTTGTAAGATTAGTGTAACAAACTCCTTGGCTAGACTGGGTGGTTCAACCAGAACGCGGTGAACCAGTCACTGTTCTCCCTTTCAAGGGCCAATTTAATAAAAAAATAATTTCACATGCATGCAATGACTGCACGCCTGCTAATTTTTTCCACTCACTAGTGTAGTTCTATTTATAGCTTTCCCTTCTCTCATTACAATTGATAAATTTCGATGGGGGACAAGTGCTACTATACGTAATAGCTGTTGCACATTTTTACCGAAATGAGGGGGAAAGAAAAGGAAATATCCACTCCATGAAAATGTTTGCCCACTTTTTTATAATTTTATTAATTTCTCAAGAGTAAATGAAACTATTAAAAAAATTAATATATATATATATNATATATATATGTATGTATGTATGTATGTATGACAAAAAGTTCAATCCCAGTTTAACCTTTTGATTTTTGACCCTTTACCTTTTTCGGGATGATATCTGGGCCGATTTTTAAAACATTGGTTTTATTTATATTTATATTACATTTGGACCTTAGGAATTGTAGACCATGATAATTATATTGTTATTGATGGAACAATAGGTCTCTGAATTTAGAGCTTTAGAGGAATATTAACCATAGTGGAATTGAAATTGGAATTGAATGGATAACGAATACCATTTTTTCAACAATCTTGATCATATAAATCAAATTTGCCGACGATGATTGAAGCTTTACATCGTTAAATGCTGTGGGGAAGAGATCCAGTATTAGATTTTCTTCATACTTGCTTAAATGGTAGCTGTCAATTTTACTTCAAGAGGTGAAGACAATTTTTTTGAATACATGAACGCAATAGAGAAAGTAGTGTGATTTTCTTAGCAAGGTTATTAGTTCACTACTAAAGAACTTAAAGAGAATGATAAAGCTTTTGTTATGTCTGATAGTACGGTGGAAAATATTTTTTTTAATGCATTCAGTCTCTTGAACTGACAGTTACATAATAGTTAGAGATCATCTTTTTTCTTTTACTAGAGAGTTTGGAATAAACCTTGAAGATCATGCAGAATG